GAAGCTTTACCGTATATTCGCTACTAAACTATAAACTCATAATTGAGATAAAATTATATTTTTTGTCGCAGTTATATAAGCGCTTCGCTTGAATTATAATTTATAATTTATAATTCTTATGAGAGTTCAAAGAAGTGTAAAAAACGAGCAAAAGATATTTTTATCATAAAATTATCTTTCTCCCTTTCTTCCACTTATGTGAACGACTAATTTGAACTATGAATCATAATTGACGTATTTATATATTTCTATACTTTAACACTATTTTTACATCGTGCTTTACAAAAAAATGTTGAATAGAAAAAGATCGCAAAAGAATAAAAAAATGTCGAAAGAAAAATCCAAGACTAGAAGCTTTTTGTTTTCTTTTTTTATATAACTTTGCTGATTTACATGACACTCGAAAGTGCTCAGATGTTGTAAAAAAAATGAAGATGTTAAAACCAGAAGGTTAATCATTACTTATGTCCGTATGATACACAATTGACATATGTTTTTACACAAAATCCAAACATACAACATTTTCAGAAACTGGCGTATTAATGTAATTCTATCGTTGATAAGTAAATTGTCCAAGTGTGTGATATATTATCTAGCTTATAGATAGAGACTTCATGGTGACTCACCTGTGATGTAATAAAATGAAGATTCGTTTGCTATTTCTTATATTATAAGTACATAGAAATCTTGCGAATACTTTTACTTTTCTCACTTTTATTGTCCTATGAAAATTTTCTATACTACAATCAGGAAGGTATTCATGATCTCTATTTCAATGAAATCCATTGCAACGATTTGATTTTTCGATATAGTGTTCGCTTTAGCGATGAGTATCATATTCGTTTAGTTGTGACCAAAACTCATTTTTGCCGGGGACATATGCATTATAAACGTTTGTACATTAGACTACGTGTATCATGCCAATTTATATGCTGGTTACTTACTTCGACAAGTGCTATACACCAACAGTGAGAAGAGAAAGAATGAAACTTGATACTGATAGTGGTATTGAATATAATTTAGATTTATAGAGTTTGACAGGTGAAAATTGCGATGATTGTCGTTAGCAATTAGTCGGTTGAATGGCGAGAAAACAAGTGCGTCATTTAGTTTGAGAATTATTGAGGCAAAACTGTTTTGATCGATAAAGTGTTTGACAGCCATGTTTTTGCTAAGTTATTTTTACATTTTTTGACAATAGAAAAGATAGTTTCTTTTCAAGTTTTATTTAACGCTTCTTCTCTTCAGTGGCTTGCTATTAAATATGCTTCACGTTTTTCTCAAGGCAGAATGCGAAGCACTGTATTGGTTTTATAAATTTTAATTACAGATCGGTGTGACCAAGTTTTTTAGCCATTGCCTGCGGCTTGAGGCTTTCTTTTAAACAATATGAATCGATACTGATATGGAGATCATATCAGTGTTATCTATCAGTGGCGTAGTCGGGGGGAGACAAATGAGCAATTACCCAGTTCATTTGGAAATTTGCGCATTGTGATTTTATCAATAAGCTTTTGCGGGTGGGTGATTGTGGTTTCATCGTCTTTGTATGCACATCCACACCCACACCCTTTAATAATAGAAAAAGACTGGCCTAACCATGATACCGTACATCTTATATTTGCATTAGAACATTCACCAGAAATTAGATCTACGAATAGGTAAACATATTCTTATTAAATATATTTCATCGTCTCAAATGAAAAAATTATACGACTATATATATCTATTTGTTAAATGAATATACATGAACAGTATCATTTATTAATCAAACTTTATCGAGTTTGTCAAAATAAACCTGTTGGAAAAATATCTCATTATATTGATCAAATGAAAGGAGGTGATATTATCTAATGTAAAGGACTATATGGTTGTCTCGAATACCGAAAAAAAACAGACTCTTCACACATAACGACACTATTTATCAAATCGATAAAATAATTATAATAGTTAGAGGAAGTGGAATTACTGTATTGTATCAAGTTCTTCTTTGTACAGATATGAATGGAATCCAATATGATCTTATTTATTTTAATAAGACAAAAGAATTCATCACAGAATAAAAATGACAATTATTTTGTCTATTCTAAATTTTTATTTTAATCATTAAATATTTATGTAATTTCATTTTTTTTATCAGACATACAATCAATATTATTTCACTTTTCGATTACATTGAATTTAACAAAAGAGAATTTTGTCTTCGAAGTACAAATATTGTAAATGACAAAATCTAAAGTTAATCATATGTTTTCTTACTGAAGAAAAACTAAGAGAGATAAAATGCACTCTAGAAGTTCCAGCTTTTTTCATATTTATACGAAATGTTGAGAATACAATTATGAATGTCTGTATCAATATCAATAAAGAATACTAATCGATCTTTTTTGTATTGACGTTGCTAAAGGAATCAAAGGTGCATAGGATTATTAAGCATATAACACCAGAAAACAAATAGAATGATACTCATCGTTATCAATGATATAATTAACATTAGAAGAGACACTTGTTGTTCCTTATACTCTTATCGTCAAGTTAAAATCAATAAAAACAATCTCGATTTTATCATAACATAAAAAATAAGATTCATATCTCTTAAAGAAATATTTAAACATGACGAATGGTGATATTATAATATTTGAATCGCATACTTTATTTGATAATCTACCTATGGAAATTATTTTTCATATATTTAGTTATTTATCATGTAATGATATATTATTTATACACTCCTTTTATTTAATTCACGATTAAATCATTTATTATTAGAACATGAACATTATTTAAATAATTTGCAATTACCAATTAGAGATTTAAATTTTTGGCAAAATATTCTTTCAATAATTGGATCAAAAATAAAAACTTCAATAATTTCTACGATTAATTTATCTTTATCATTGTTTTTTTTTGTTCTAATATAAAATCTATTACTTATTATAACTTCATTGTGTGGTTTATCTAATAGATCATTACAAATACTACATACATCTAAAATAAAAAGTAAAAACTATCTTAAACCATGACCATCTTTATTTTATGATAGTTTGAACATTATTTATTTACATAAATGTTTAATGAAGAAAATCTATTGAAATTATTTGAATATTTAACTTTAATAACATTATATTTATATGAATTTATTGATATATTTTCTATTCTTCAATATACACCAAATTTAATATATTTAAACGTTAAAACAACATTAAGTGATAGTCATAAAATACAAAATAAATGTATTAATATAATTAGTATTAAATTAAAACAATTATATTTAACATTATATTATGAAACATTCTATATGATTGGAAAATGTTGATCAACACATAGATTTTCTTCATTTAATAAGTGATATAAAACTATTTTCATCCACATTAATTTGTTTATCAATGAATTTCCATTAAATGGTTTTACATTACAACATCAGTTGTTAGAATTAATGATAGAACTTCAACAATTTCATCTTTATTCAAAAGTTAAACAAGACCAATTTTGGTTTGATCATAAATGGTTTGTTGGAATGCATGAAAATTATTTCTATACACTATCATTTTCTTTTAATGAACTTTATGGTTTTAGTAATTTTGATGAAATTCAATCAAATCATGATGAGATTTTAAATTCTTATGGAATATAGTATATTTATATCAAGTGATTAATTTAGTTATTCGGAAACAATTGAAAAGAACCATCTATAACTAAACAAGAAACTTTAACAAATACTGAAACTGTTGATTTAATTGGTGATTCAATTGAAAATATAAAACAATGATTGATCTATATTTTACCAAATGTAAAACACTTAATTTTATCTTATACTGGTTTACCATCATTCAATAGCCACTTAAGCTTAGATTTAGATAATTTCAATGGTATGTTAAGATTCTTATGAAAATATTTCAAAATTATAATCAATTAAAAATCTTATCTGTATATATATTATTGATGAAAATCATGTACAAACATATGGTTCATCAGAAGTTGAATTAAGTAAAATTATTAGATATTTAAAAATAAATCATATTATAAAAAATTATGATGATCAACATCATCGAAAAGATGCACTTTTTTCATTGTATATAAATTAATATAATATAAAGTTCCTGCTGATGTTTGATTTTGAACCATAATTATTCCAGTTAACTATATAGATATTATCATTTGTTTTACAAATCATCTAGATATAATGGAATTAATTGTTTAGTTGTTATGTAAAATCAAAGGTCTCTAAGGTTAATCACGCCATGCCGTACTCGATATGTTGTAGTATGAATAGATCTCGTTTATCCTTGAATTAAGATATAAGATGGCTTATTAGAATCAATTTAACTTTTTTAGATAATGTTTAGTCTAATTTGAATCGTATAATAAAGTTTCATTTATTAAATAAAATATTGTCAAAGCCTCAAGCTAATAAAACGTCAATGCTTTATTCATTCTAATTTCTAATTACACATATATTATATAAGAGAATAAGAATATAAACTATCATTTTAAATATTTTACTGAAAGAATAGATATTGTATGAATTGATTGTGTCGAAATTAATATACAACAGAATGAAACAGATGGTGTTTAAGAATAGTTTTATTCTTTCACTACATATTATTGATAGAAACCATGTTTTTCGATGAAAACTATACGGGCAAACATTGAATATATTTAGAGAATGGTATTTATTTGAAAAATCCACTCAACTGTCGTTCTATTTAGTGTCGGTTATATATAAATAATATTTGAAGTTTTGCTTTAACATTCAAAACACAGCATATACTAACAATATACTCTTACATTGTTATTTATGAAAGAAAAAAAACGTAAATTTCATATTTCAAATTACAGTTAGAATTGATGTACTTGCCATATATTTTCTAATTTTTTTATTCTCGAGATTATTGTAGCACATACTATTATGCGTCAAGGTAAGTATATAATAAATAAAAAAAAAGCTTGCGAATGAATAAAGAAATGCTTTGTTTCACATCCCATTAGATATTATCTAATAGAAACATCAAAGTGTAACAACTATCTTTAACTAAAAGTTGCATGTTGCGCCAAATCTGTCAATCATATTATTTTCATTATATAGTAAATGGATTCAAGTTAAGAGATCAACTAGTTTTATTGAATAGTATATATGGATAAATATTTAAGGAAAAATAAAATGAATAAGATATAAGAATAAATAAATGAGAAAATAAAAATAAAAATGAATGAGATATAAAAATAGATAAATGAGAAAAAAAATAAAAATGAATAAAAGAAAAGAAAATAAATGTCTAATCAATGCATAATGTTGTGTGAAATTGAATTAAACAATTTAGTTTTGTTTAACAAATAATGTCCACCCGTTATTTGTCACGGTTTTCGTGCCATTGAAGAGTTCAGCAGCTGGTGCACGATCTTTAAGGTCATAAGAAGTATGATATGCTGTGTCAGTTGTCACACCATAACCACCACAGTCACGTTCAGCATTACAATAAGCAATAGCTTCAGGTAATGGAAGAATACAAACTCCACTTTTTTGAAGACTATGTTTAATATGAGTGCAATCAAAACGATTTGCACCAATGGTGTTTTTTGTAACTACGTAATCAACAATTAGTGACTGAGGAACAGTACGTTTTCTTAAAATAAAATAAAATAAAATATTCTCATTTCATAGAAATATTTATATATCTACTTACTGTTCTAATTCTTCTTCACTTACTTGATCAAGACCAAGTAACGCTCGAAGATCCATTTTATTATATCTATATTGTCTTCCATCAACACCATTTGTTTTTAAAGTTGCAATAACAACAACTAAACATACTAAGACTGCAACAATCTTTGTCATTGTTAATGATTAACGGTAATAAATGGAAGAAAAATAAGAAATGAAATAATACTATGAATATACACCAAACATGCCTTGCTTAAATAGTACTGTGTTAGACCACCTCTTCATGTTGTGAGTATGATTGTATGACTTGATGAAGCGTAACGCCAGGCTACTTATACATGTTGTGGATATGAATCGACGAAGCATAGTATCTAGTATTTATCAAAATAGGTGATTCTTGTATGTCGCACTTTAATACTGTACAATATTATATGATTACCTTGGACGAAAAACAAAATATTATATTAACTATTGTTTTGAAGATCGGTTGATTTTGTTGACTTCAACATATATCAACATTAATACGATACAGCATATAGAAAATAACAACCTACGAAAAATAGAAAATCATTCTTCAAAGAATAATCTATATTATAAATTATAACTGAATCATAGTTCACTTATTTTATCTTTCCAAATTATTTCACAAGTAATAATAATAATGGAAAGAAATATAACTGAATACATATATTTAGAAAAAGAAAAAAAAAATGATAATAATTTGAACAGTATCGTTACTAAATAGTTGTGTCCAATAAAAATAGTAACAGTACAAAGGTATGGTGTTTGTCTACTTTCATAAATTATAAATCTTGATTAATCTGAAAATACTATTTAAAATAATATATTCAACATGGATCAAATATGCTAGTTATTATTCTTGTGAACCACGATGACCTTGAGCATATTGATGATGTATAGAAACAAAATATTTTTACTAATTATTTTTAGAAAGGAAGCAGAAAGAGTTACTGCTTCTTCTTCTTCTTATATCATCTTCACATATCATAACTATCCATATTACAAATAAAGATTCGATTTTACATTATTTATAGTCCATGATGCATATTATAGAATATTGTGTTTAGTAATATGTGTACAAAATACATATAATTTAATGAAAAATCCTATATAAAAGTCATTCGATGTAAATAAACTATCATCATAAATATATACAATAAAATACACTATTAGAAACTTCGAGTTTTGTTTTATCAAATCACGACTCTGTGCGTCATATTATTAAAGTGTTTTTCTTTAATCACAAACAACTTATTCGAAGAATATGCACTACTGACTACATAAATGCTTTGCTTAATATCACATCAATGCCAATGTACAATGATATTTTCATAATATTTATCTAACATTTTATACAACCATTCAGTTCTCATTTCAGAAGTAGAAAAAATTAAATATATTAAAGTTTTTTAATCGACTAACAATTTATCGTAATTTTTAAACATTAAATAATATTTCAACATTAAGAATTTCTTTATTATTAGCATCCATTTCTTTTTAAATACTATTGTTTTTATCTTAGTTAAAAGGTTTTTTTTACAAAGTCCATAAATAAAGTCGTTCATTATGTGTCATTATTTTTTGAGTTTTTATTCCATTTGTAATCCAAATTATTTATTGATTTAACTGTGGAAATATTAAACAGGGTATATTATCTTTAATAAATTGTCGTACATTGTTATTCTTATAATTAAATTCGATTTCATCTAATGATGATGTCTCAAATAATTGAACAAATTCAATATTCAACTTTTTTAAGACAACTCGACATGAATAATATTTGAAAATTAATTAAGAAAAGAAAAAAATGAAATGAATATCACACATACGTATGTCAAGAGAGAAAAAAAACAAAAAGGGAATTTTACAGAAATATTTTTGGGTATGTAGATGCGTGCGTGAGTGTCTTGTGTTTATATATGCTTACACCCACACCTATCCATTGATTCTATTTTGCAAATAAAATGAAGAATGCAAAGATATATAATCTATTGTTATCTCAAAACATAAAATTAGAAAACTGAAATGTTGAAATCTATTAAGAACTGTATCACAAAATTTGTATGTATTATAACTTATATATATATCATATGACTGAATTATTTGCACGAAATAAAAAGTAGTTTATTTTGATATATTTGTTACTCTATCGCATAAGACGAAAATGTCACAAAAAGATCTTATTAAAATTCTAGAACGAAAATCAAAACCTACTATGAGAATCAACTTAAAAATGAACAATCTCATAATTGAATAAAAAACAAAATTAGATCGTGAGGTTTTTAATGGATGAAATCATTTAAACTGATCTATTTCATTAGTTTTATCATATATTTTCTTATTTAATTCATTATTTATTATTTGGGAATATGTTTTTTGGTATATGATTGTTATTCAATACTATATTCAACCATAAATTATTATTTAATGTTAATGTTCTTTATTTCATGAATACAAACAATAAGATATAGTTGAAAAGAGAAAAATGGTTCATTTTATCTGAATTATTTATTAAATTATCTATTTTACTTAGTTTTTGTTTGTATGTATATTTATGAATATGAGTTATTATTTATTCTCTCTTCTTATTTTTTCTTTTCATTAAACAAGGTAAACGATGTGAATCATTAATGATACAAATAGTTACCTATAGTAATTACCCTAAAATCATCCTTTTTTCATCTATGTAAATATATGTATTATTTTATTTTTATTTTATATACAATCATACATTTTTATTATTGACAGTTGATTTTGTATTTTGCTTCTTGGGAAAAATAGTCAATGATGATTTATTATGCATAAAATATATTGACAAGTATACAATCATCGATATTTTGATCAAAGTTTGTTAACTTTTTGTTTTTTTCGTCCTTGAAAAATCATGGACGTATCTCTTCATCACTCTCGATGGAAATAGATGTGTAAATCAAACAAAATTTATCATATATATTTCATCTGATATCCACTATCTATTTCACATCCTCTTGAATGTAAGTTCTACGTATAATGATATTCTTTGATATAGCCACAGGAAATGTTTTTCTATTTAGATATTTGAAATTTGAATTAACAGTGCAATATTCAAGTATAATTATTGTCTTCATTGCAACAACGATTATGAACTGTATCGAAGCGAAACACTTACGTTTTACAAATGATGAAGACAACAATGAACTTGAAGTATATCGACGAAATAAAGATTTCATGGATGAACACACATATGCAACACTCTTTAAACGTATGTAGAATAAGATAGAGTATGAAGTTTTATAAAAATTTAATGATCAAACATGAATATATATATTTAAAAATTTATATATCTCTTTCATACAAATATTCAAACTCACCAGCAGTGCCTAATGATAAAAACATTTATGTATAGTTTTTTGTTTCAAAGAAAGATTTTATTTTTTATTTTTAAACTACGATGATAATCGATGATTTTTTGTTTCTGTTTGTATAAATAGGTGATGGTTCAACTGTAAATGTTCGATGCTGAAATGCTTTGTTTGACAATGAGTATTATGGGGGTGATATTCTAGGCCTTGGTGATATTTGAACAGATTCAGCAGTTGAATGTGCATTTTTACGTGAAAAGATACCAGCATGTATTGCATGGAATTTTAATGCTAACAAAGCTTGTTCATTAAAAAAATCAAGTATCCAAATTATTAGATATAACAGGTACAATTATAGGTCTTTGTACAAAACCACAATGATAATACTTTTTCCCATTGATATATGTATACATAAGATATTTCTTTTTATATTCGTTCAGAACAAGCAAAACAAAGAAATAATAATAATAAAAGATTATTTTCAATCAATACATTATGAAACAAAAGACTAAGATTCTATTCTCCTTTGTGCATTCATAGTTTTTGTAGTTTTAATATAAACGTTTCCTAAAATAAATTTTGTTTTTAATCATGATCACTTTTTCTTTTGGTTGTTTACTTCTCTTTTTCATCATTGTTTCTTTTATACTAGTCATAGTTCATATTGTTTATTCTCATAATAAAAATATTCATCTATCTGATTTTAATTTAAATACATTTTTGAAGATGATCAGTATTAATATCAGTTATAAACAAAAAGAACTTACTGATCAATACTGATTTATACAAAAAATGTTAGAGAATTAGTAATTTATGCTATCGCCACAATCACTCGACCTTGTAATAAAGCACATTAGTTATCTGACTAACACCGGCAGAAACATTTTCTTTACTCATTGATATATAATTGAAATTCTTTCGTAACAGAATTGCATATAATGCCAGAACTCCAAATACAAACGAACCAACTATATAATCAAAGAAAAATATCATTTGAATCCATAAACGATAATTTACACGGTCACAAACCATCTTGAAAGTGTGGATATAGGTGTCTTCTTTATTGACATCCATCCGACGTCCATCGTAGATTTTTGGTCTTATTATTGTGATAAAAAGTGAATACTTAGCTTTTCGGACGAAATGTAGTAGGACAAGAGATACTTAGGACGAATTTTAACGAGACAAAAATGAAATTGGATCAAAAGCATTTAGGACGAATAGTCTGGGACAAAAAAACAGCCGAAATGTAGGGGTACCGATTAAAAGATCAAGAAAATCTATCTATAAATATGTATATTTTGAAATTGTAATTATTATATTGAAGGGTTTGTATCTTCTTTTATCGTATTGAAAAGTGTTAAAATTTCCCCAATGAAAAATATTTCTCCACTAATTCATAAGAATCTAGACAGAATAAAATGATAGAATAAAAAAAATGTTATGATTAGTGTTAACATATCTGAATGTGATGTCGATTATGATATGGAATTTCATCTAGATATGAAAATTCTAATATTATTTATTGAAATAAGCCAAAAAAGAAAAGTACGAAAACAAGCAAAATAAAATTGAAAATAAAAGTGAAGCGATAAAAGGTTATGCGTGTATAAATTAATTGCAATAAACATAACTGTTTATTATAAGATGTCGTTTTTCTACGAAATTTCAAGCAACAGTTCAATGAGATTAAATGTCATATTCAATGATTCAAAAAGAAAATCTGATGAATATGAAGTTTGTCCGTAGTATTTTAGAGTTTCATAAATTTTTGTACGCGATTGTTTCCTTGATCACCAATATACATATTCATTGCTGAATCAAATGCAATACCTCGTGGATCACTTAATTGTGTTGCGCCACTATTCGCAGTACCATCACCTGCAATGGTAATTCCAGTGTTAGTATTGGCACAGAACAATTGAATCCTATTGTTACCATTATCAACCACATAAATATTCATAAAACTATCAATTTTAATTCCCATCGGAGAATTTAAGTGAGTTGCATCAGAACCTGATGTACCTGGCACACCGGCAACGAAAGTGGCTGTTGAAGCACCGGGAGTCCAACGTATAACTGAATGTCCACCATTATTTGTTATAAATAGGTCAGTACTTATCGATGGTAAATAATGAATACCCCATGGTCCGTTCAGCGATGTGTTTTGATCATATTCTCCAGTTCCACCAGCTGCAATAACGCCATTAGTACCCCCAGTTGAATTCGTTGGATAGCGCATAATTCGATGACAATTAAGGTCAGCAATATACATATTTGTTTCCGTTGAATCGAAAGTAAAATATCGTGGAGTATTAAATTCATTTAATTGAGAGCTAGCCGATCCAGTTACGCCAGCAATCGTGACGCCAATGTTTGATCCACTACTAAATTTTTGTATTCGTTGATTGCTAGTATCACTTACATATATATTTCCAGATTTATCAACATAAACATCATTAGGATAATTTAATTGAGTACTACTCGTTCCTGACGATCCAAAGATTCCAGCTACAGCTGTTGGATTTACAGCATTTTTCAATAGTTTCCATACAACATAATTACTGTCCTCATCTACAGCATATAAATTATCATTTGAGTCAATAAATACACCAGATGCTCTTATTGGTAATGTTCCTGATGGTGCTGTTGCTGCACTAAGTACGGTAGTACCCGTTGTATTCCACAATAAACTTCCAGATAAACCTAACATTCGATAAAAAAAAGAATGATTAATTATTTAATATTTTTCTTTATAATCTTAGTATCATTATATCGATATAGATATCATCTTCTTGTTTTTTAATCTTTCTTCTCAGAATAAATAAAATAAATAAATGTTTCTCTAATACGGGAGTTCTTCGAAATGTATTCTTTGAAAATCGATATAATATTAAATAAATACAAAACAAATATAAAGATATTCCTAATAGCTATTGCAATACATATTAGAATTTCAGTTATTTTCACAAATTTAAAAAAAACATATTTTGAGTATACTATATTACAGCTGACTAGAATATCTTTTTACTTACATGGATTTCCTATGGTAGTTGTTGTTGTTGTTGTGGTTGTTGTAGTTGTAGTTGTAGTTGTAGTTGTAGTTGTAGTTGTAGTTGTAGTTGTTGTAGTAGTTGTAGTTGTTGAGGTTGTTGTAGTTGTGGTTGTAGTTGTTGCTGTAGTTGTGGTAGTTGTACTGGTTGTTGTTGTTGTTGTTGTAGTTGTGCTTTTTGTGGTTGTAGTTGTAGTTGTTGTGGTTGTTGCTGTTATTGTTACTGTGGTAGTAGTAGAAGTAGTAGTTGTTGTTGTGGTTGATGGAACTGATGTTGTAGTAGTAATTGTTGTTGATGTAGGAATCGGTTCTATTTTTAAACAAAAGTATGAAAAAAAAGACAAAAATAGATCTATTAGAGTCACTGTTGAGCACTTTTCGATTGACAGTGAATAAAAAAGTAAAAATAAAAAGATGTATCCTTTATTCATCAATGAAGTGAAAATTTTTTTTATTACTATGACATGAGTTTCATTAAGAATCAAAATCATACCATGCTACTGATGAAAATTTACATTTTATAATCAATCAAAAACAAATGCATCAATTGTTATGCTCGTTTCATCAACAAAAGTGTCATTTTCTTCTCCCGTATTTGTTTCTGTCCTGTGCTCATACTCATAGATAAGTCATAAAATAAATAGTCTGCTTACCGATGGTAATACCATTAGAGTTATCTCCAGTGTCATTATTTCCATTGGGATAAGATTGAATGTGACAAAGCTCCAGAGTCAAGATACTTCCATCGTCCGTCGTCATATTGACATGGGTCACATTATTGAATTTACTATGGATACCTTTAAATAGATCTACTTTACAGATCTCCGTTTGGCATGATAAATTTTTTGGATAATTCAGTTCAATACCAAAGATGATAGCGGGACCTGAACGATCTGTTTTATCACATTGAAGGCTATATGTAAAAGTATAAGTAAATATGAGTAGCAGAAATTAATTAAAAAGGAAATTACTCGCGGCGGCGGCGACGTCGACTTTTGTCCCCGGTTGCATATGCACTGCTCATGTGGTTGACGGTGACGGAATCAGGAGGAGAACCCTGTGCTTGTTGCAGCTAAAATATATTACACATTATGAATTAACATCAGATATAAAAATTACGCAAGAGGCGGTTGTTTGTCGGTTGGTGACGGATTGTGTGGCTCGTTTTCTCTCAAGTCCAGCTGGCAACAAGTAAGAGGCATCTAACGCAGTAAGTGATTTTCCTAGTAAAGACTACGTATGTGTATGATAAAAATAATAAATAAATACTAACTAGTGGCCTCTAATGTTTTGATGTTGATGATGCCAGAACCCTTGCTTGGTACATACAGTGGAATCAGCGAAAGAATAATGGCACACGCAATAGCAAATAGTGCTAAGGCGAAAAGACCAAATGTAGAAAACCTATATAATTAGTAAAAAATGACAAAGTTTATCAAAGATATTTAAAACTCACACTCGACTACATGTTAAATTTAAATAAGCCATGGCTTTGAGCAAATTGACAGTGTTGTCTTGTAATGAAAAATAAATCTGAAACAAATTTCTATATGAAAATCAAATGACAAAGAAAAGTTGGTTTAAGATTTGAAGTTTTTAGTTATGAGAACGATCCTAGTTAAGACCTGGTATCATTCTATGTCAAACTATGCACATCGAGACATTCAACTTCAAATGGTGAGTAAGCTTCTTTTGATCCAAGTTACGTTGCTAAGTCGAACTTATAAATGTGAAATAATGCATCTACAATTTGATTAACAAACATGCAAGATCAACACTTGGTTCTTTGAGAAGCCATGACTCAGAATAATTTTTATTCAGATAATATCAAATATGTTCGCTTAAGGATCCACTATAAATCTTAGATTCATTGATTTTGTTTTCATTGGATATGACTTAAGAACATTGGTCATTAAGGAATAATCAATTACAATACTTTTCCGTACACCGCGAAGATTTGTTGTTTTAGTATAATGGAACACATGCAGATGGGTGTTCCTATTCCCATTCGATGGTAATAGTAATGCTGGCTATTTGTATTACTATTGCGTGTTATCACCGCTGCTGGATTTTGACAATTATCTTGGGTCGTATCGGTGCTGAAGAATCTCCTTATTATTATCTGATCTTTATAATGCTGCTGGATGCTTCTCTTGATATTCAAGGGTGTTGATGCCGATGGATGTTGGTATTAGTGCTTGATGTTGTTGATATTAATGGATGTTTGTACTGGTATTTGAAGGAGTTAATATTAATGGATGTTGGTGTTTATAATGATGATGATTGTATTGGTGATTCATAGTGGTGATGCTGATGCATGTTGGTATTTGTATTTGATGATATTAATACTGATGGATATTTGTGTTGGTATTCCGTGTTGGTTATCGTCTGAATGATAGATATAAAATAGAAATTATATAATGTTTATTACCTTGAAATAAGATTTAAGTACGATTGGCGACGAAACAGAAGCGTCGAATACACTTGTTTTAGCTATAAATGAAAGTAGATAATTGATCGAATATGTAAAGATGCAAGCGCTTTTATATGTTTTTCTTTGTATACGCTTCACTGATGTACAATTGATGTGTTTCATTTTCTGTCTTTCTGTTTCATCTCATAAAAAATATTAAGCAAGCAATTAAACAAACGTAATAATAAATTTCCCTTGTTTTTGGATGATTGTATGAAATGCGTATGACTTATAGAAAATGTAAAAAGAAAAAACAAATACGATAATATATATCTACCATTTTGGGTGACTGGATGAAACGCGCATGATTTAAAAAAAATATAAGAAGAAAAAACAAATACGACAATATACTTCTACCATTTTGGATGATTGTATGAAATGCACACTGCTTAGAAATTTTGTAGGAAGAAAGTAAAAGGTGAGTATTTGATCAGTTCTCTCTCATTAACGAAAAATACGAAAGTAATTAAACGCGAAAGCATGTAGTTAGACAACATTTGTTGTTTACATTGTTTAAACAAGTATGGTATGTCATGTTTATCATGGGATGCCTAATTCGCCTTATAATATGAATGAACATTCAGAAGATTGTTCTCATTTCGAAAATAAATAACGATAAAAATTATAAATATATGCATTTATATCATTTATATAAATGTGATAAATGATAAATGAAATAAAAGAAAACTTTTCTTTTTTTTTATTTTTCTAGCTTTACAGTGAACTGCTCATATATCTCATTTATATATAAAAATGATAAATATATAAAATAATATTTATAGATATGAAGTGCGCTGATAAATTGTTTTTTTCATTCATATTATAAGTCGCTAGTACTCTTTAATATTAATAATAAGGCAAATTTAAAGAATCTTTTTAGATTCTATTAAATTATGATCCACAAATAATTGTTTATAAAAATACGTTATTATCTACTCTAGGTTTGTTATGTTTCATATACAAAAACTATTATAGGAAATTATTATTTATTTATTTACGTTTTTATCCTAATGTTTGTCAACCATATATGATTATCACTGGGCTGTCACAAATATTATCAAATAAATAAAACAATGAATTCATTTATTACAATTCTTTTGATTATTTTTAATACCAATGAAAATAACTCAGAAAACATATGAATTCACTAATAAATTGTAAGAAAGAAAATTATTTTGAGTTTTTATACATAATTTTCTCTTGAATGTTATAGCACAACTTTTTCTAATCTTTTTTTTCAATGAAATATACAAACAATTTCATCGCCTGTTTTGGGCTTTATTTGACTATAAAATCATCTCATATTAATGTTTGTTATTCTTATTGATTAGTTTCAAAACAAAATATTTTCTCTTATTTAGATATGCAAAATAATGAAGAATTTATCGAAAAATGCCTTAAAGCTATTAATTATAATATGATAAAATTATATTCTAATACATAATTGATTCTTTTCATAGAAGTTGCTGATGGATATCAATTAATTTGTAACAAAACATAAATCTTTTATTTTTATTTCTTAAATAAACAACTCTCAACAATCGAAATCGAAACCAAGTGAGAAGTTCTGTTAGAAAAAATATTTCCATTCATTTTGTATTTAAATATATATGTTGGTTATGAACAATCTAATTTCGATGAACATGGTAAGATATATAAATTTTGGCTTTTTGTAGATGTTTTATAAAGGATCGATAATTTCTTTTCTTTTGATAATAGGAATGCATCGCATCATGCATCAAATATCAAACCGTTCATCATTAATAAATTTATCTCATGTTGATTATTCACCATCCACACGAACATTTATTCTTTCTTCAAGAACAACAGTTTTCAATCAATATTATCACCCCAACAAAATTAAAAATCATTCTTCTAGACAATAGCATGTTTAGAAATAGGTATTAACAAAAAAATATATTTCAGTTTCTTCTTTCCTTGTTTTCTCTTCATTAGATTCGAATAATTTATCAACATCCATTTCATCTGTTAAACTAATTTCGACACCAATTTCTTCGTTGACTTCAAATTTATGTCATAATTCACTTGGGACATCTCATCAGTCACGATTTTTAGTTCCTCTTTTCAAACGTCCTTCATTATCTCCATCAATATGTTTTTAACATTTTCGTTCACAGTATTTGTTCAAATTATGTTACTACTCCGAAGTATCATTACCAATAACTAACACTTCTTTTCTATCATCCACCACAAGATTCAACAGCTATGAATAATAAGCGATATAGTGAACTACCTGCTCCACCTATAAAACGTTTTTCGTATAATTTCAGTTCACAACAATATTATTAAAATTTAGTGTTTTTCAAATTATCCTAAATGAAGGTCAAATGTCAAATATAGATTGTTATACAGACCGGTGTTGTTTTTTTTTCTTTTTGCTCTTTCTTATGCATGTTGTATGTGTTTGTCCTCGTGAATGATACATTTCTCTTCTTTTCTTTTCTTTCTTTTTGTGATAGATTATATTGATTATGAGTGTATGAAACAGATATACAAAAAATATATTTTAAGAAAAAAGAAAAATATATATTCATTTTATATAGATTTCTACATTTTAAGATAATTGTTTGACTATGTGCTGAGAAATATTCCACATTCATTGATTATATTGTTATTGAAATGATATTTTTAAAAACCATTTACACAATTGTCACGATAATAAATCGATTTTAGAATCATAGGACATGAATTATTCCGTTGTTTCTATATAATAAAAAAATATGTTAGTTTTTTTATTCTCATCTCAATTTTACAGGCTTGCCATGATATCGGCAAAATCGAGCTTAGACTATAACATTTAGTCGTTTATCTATTGATAGACTTGTCATTGGTAATGAAAATGAAGACGATTATTGATTATTTAATTTTAAATCATATAATTTATAAAATACATGCGAAAAATGAATTAAAGGATATAGTAAATCGTAAAAGTTCACTATTTTTTTGCTTTTTACTTCTTTTTAAGAGCATGAAGGAACAGATCATAACAGTATTTCAATCTTTTACAGTTTGAAACGAAATATCGTTTGCTTTTCAGAATCTCACTATAAACTAATATTTGTCTTATCTTTAGATTTGATATTTAGCCGATTATTTTACTAATCTTGTATTATTCATCTGTTCTTCTTCATTTTATGTCAGTTACAAAATAAAAATATAAAATAAAATGGTTAATTGTTCTATTTGGATTTGTTTTTGTATTATTTTAGTTGTCTATTTTATCAGTTATAACGAATATAATACTGATGAAATATCAGGTAAGTTTGTTTTTTGTATTCATTTATAAATAAGTTAGTTTCATGACTATTTTATAGTGTTACTTTTCAAAAAAAACTTAATAAATACGAAATGATGACATTTATATTTTACTTTTCTACTTTCTTATGAAATATTCAACACGAAAATAGAATATACACCTATACACAATACATGAAAGACTATTTCAACTAGATAAATAGTGAACATATAATTTATGAAATATAGAAAAATCACTTTCAGATATGATTATTCTAGTAAATATTTATCTGACA